CACAACTTTGATTCTAAGATCTACCCACTAATAAGCAAGCTTGATATATCCATCTTCAAGAGCTACACAGGGCTTCAGTTTATTCAGCTTAGGTGGAAATAACCACATCAAATGCTATAGAGGATTGCTCAGGTCGGAAGCAGACCAAAGACCATTTACATTAAGCTTCTGCCAAGGCCAATGATCAAGTCTCAACGTAGCTTCTCTTCAAACGAAATGAAAATGATCCCCAATAGTTTGGTACCAAAAGTCATGTCTTCACAGGTCTTTTTCGCTTCTTTTCATAGTCATTAGAATAGACTGGAACTGCTTACTAGATAGATAAGAGGGACCAGATACCTGGCAACAGTTGGCTATTTTTGGTAAAACAGATGAGATAAAGCGAGTTCTGAAGGTTTGGACTGGGAAAAAAAGTGTTGTAGTGCAAATGGGCTGGCAACCAATGAGAAACCAAGTGATATATCTAGATAAAGGTACATGACAAAGTGAATTTTTAGGTCCCAAAAGGCATTTTTGAAACATCCCTCATTCACACAAACAAACTAATATTCATAAATTTACCGTTTAGTTTTTCGCCAAACAGATTGATAAACATAGTAAAATTTAATGGTCCTGGCGATTCATCGAGCATCTCCTTCAGCTCCTTGTCAGAGGGTGTTCGGCCTGGAAAAGAAACATGAAATGTCTATCAGAAGTTATACGCTAGCTAGCAGTAAAATGCCCAGGCAACTACCTACCAAGAGATGCATACATATCTTTCAGATCCTCAATATCGATAAAGCCATCACGGTTCTGGTCGATCAGTGTGAAGGCCTGGAAAGCACGAATAAAAGGAAGACATATAAACAAAAGTTAGTCCGTTGGTCATGCCTTAATAACTTGGGTTTAGCAACCTTCTGCTTCAAGTCTGGAGCCCTGTTTATCATGAGGCTAACCTAACCAATTTCACTTGGAAACAATCACTAACACATTTTTCCATCTCGTCTATAAGCCTATCACAATAGATTCGTCTTAATAAATTCATCTTTCTGTTTATATTTTGCCTCTTGTTTGTGCATAAGTAGCCGTGAGGCAACAACAAAAGTGGTATCCTTCAAAATCTGTATCTGGTTGTTGAAGTCTATACCGGGACCCGGGCATCATTAAATGGATAGCCCGTCCTGGTAACCAGCAGCTGACTGTAAATGTCTCCCTATAATTGCTATAAATCTTAAAATACTGTTTTCAGCCGAAAAGTATGAAATAAAATACCAAAAACCAAAGTTAACATAAGCAAACCTCTTTAAATTCCTGGATTTGAGTTTGCGGGAACATGCCAAATACGTTAGAGGTGGCCCGCTGTGCACGTTTGCCCCCCCCACCGCCGCCGCTTTCAGGAACAGCTGCAGCAACTTCTTCCTCCTTCTTCTCTTCCTTCTTCTCTTTCTTCTCCTTCTTTTCTTTTTTCTTCTGTTCCATGAGGAGGTAAAATTAAAACGATGCAAAGAAAAACATTTCAGGATTTTTTAATCCAGGGCAAACTTAACCTACTAAACATCACGATAATGGATAATTAAGTATAGCTAGGAAGCAGTTGGTAAACGTTACTGTCAGTTCAGGTAATCTCCATTCTTAGTCATGTGCAAGCACCCCTATAGAT